TGTTTTTTGTTTTGTTTTGTTTTCTTCTGTTTTGTAGAGATGCAGTTTCACCATGTTAACTAGGCTGGTCTCGAATTCCTGGGCTCAAGAGATCCACCCACCTTGGCCTCCCAAGTTGCTGGAATTACAGGTGTAAGCTGCCACGCCAGCCACTCTCTATATTCTTGAGGCCACATTTGATATTGTTGAAGCCAGTGGAGTCTTAGGAAATTATCAGCGTGGGTTAGTTGATTAAGTTTTCAGCTCTCTGAGTGACAGATTGCCAATTGATGGAGAGAGAATGCGTTACTCTTGCATCATGTGGTATAGGCACCTTCTTTCCAATATTAGGAATAATTCACTATAAGTAAATATATGCACAGTATCAGATCATATTTTTGGACGGAAGAAAAGAAAAACATTAAGATTTAATGAGACTGTCTTTGAAATTCTTGATTTACAGTACCTGGTCTTATAACCCTATTCATGCCTTTTTGTAGAAATCATTTTGGGCCAGGTGTGGTGGCTCATGCCTATAATACCAGCATTTTGGGATTCTGAGGCAGGTGGATCACATGAGGCCAGGAGTTTGAGACCAGCCTGGCCAACATGGTGAAACCCCATCTCTACTAAAATACAAAAATTAGCTGGGCATGGTGGCACTCAGGAAGTCGAGACATGAGAATGCCTTGAACCCAGGAGGTGGAGGTTGCAGTGAGCCCCAAGATAAGGCTACTGTACTCCATCCTGGGCGACAGAGTAAGACTCTGTCTCAAAAAAAAAGAAAAAAAGAAAAAATCATTTTGGACGCAATGCAAATATTTGTAGCATCATTAAAAAATCTACCTGTGCTAAAGAATTCAGGTTACTTTTTTTCTAGCAAAGACTCTCAAACAGTGAATAATTATTTTAAGGAATTCACTACTCTAACATATTATAGACTCAAATGTAGAGATGAAATGCATTGTACAAATTGTTTATAATTACTTTGAAAAATATAGCTCCTTAGTGTATAGAATGTGAGGGGTAGGCTATAAGGATAGATGAGTCATCTAGCCTAATCTGGGTACATCTTAATTTTTCTGCTGTCAGTGCAAAGCAGAGAAATGTTTCTAGATTGACGTCTCAGTGCATTTTTCAGTGTCAGCTGGGAATCCTTAAGTCTTTTCAGTAATCTGAGTGTTCATTATCCAGTTGCACAACTACTGTATTTGATAAAAATAGAGAAGCCACCCATTTTATTAGTAGCACACTGTAGCAGACCTAAGTTACTTGAGAAAGTCGGCGAAGTAAGGAAACTGTTCTGTCTTCAGCTCCTCCTCTCCTTAGGACTCATAGTGGGTTTAACTTCAGCATCAAAGCACCTCCTGTTCAAAGGCTGTTATTATGTGAGCCTTGCTAAATACAGAAGTTGTTTGTTCTGAATGACAGAAATAAGTATTGACCGGTTTATCCTCACATGCTTCAGATTCTCGGTGGGGATCGTAATGTGTTCTTTTCACATTCCGCCGTCGGGCTTTTCTCCCCCGACAAAGCGAGCATTATGCACACTTATAGCCGTGATACCATATACTTAACTGTATGGAAATACAAACTTAACTCTGCTCTTTCGTTTTACCTTTCCTGGAGCTATAAACAGTAACATGCCGTGGCCGCTGGTGAGCATTCAAAAAGCAAAACGGTCTGGCTTTTCTGGAGTTCCTCTGTGCTTAGAGTAATATTTTCCCTGCTGGCTATTTAAAACTGCATATTTTAGATTCTCATTTCTGAGTTGCCCACCCCCATCCCACCAAACCCTCAAGAATCTGAAAGTCCATAATACTTCTTGAGTTCTGGTCAGCGTTTCCAGTGACTCAAAACTAACTGTAAAAACCTCACATGGTGGGATCTGTGGAGCAGGGAGGAATCCTACACAAGGTTCTTTTCCTGTTTGGCCTTGCCCTTTCGGGTCCTGTTCAGAGAGGTCATTTGGAGAGCTGGAATTTCTGCTTGACAGCCTGAAATGCATGACATGGGTTTCCTGCTGTTGCATATACTGCTGGGGTGGACCTGGTTTCAGGACACCAGAGAGCCTGGGGTCGGCTCACAAAACCCCCATTGTTCCTTTTCCATCTTCCTTTAGAAACCTAAAAATGTAATGTTCTGCGGGTCATCAGCAGGAGAATTTATTTTGACTTCAGGTCATTCACTGTCGAGCTCTGGAGTTGGCTGTCATTGTGTTAGGCTCTCATTGCTGTTTTCCCATCCTGTATTACGTGCATCTTTTGACCCTAAATGCTTTGGATCTCGTCAAGAACTCAGAAGTGATTCTTATCCTTTTGTCAAGACAAAAGAGACCTTGTTTTTCACACTCTATCAGAAGCACCTCATTAGGATAGTATACGTTGCTTTCTGCTTGTTCCTTCCTATACCGCCCTTCTATGAGGAAATCCATCAGCTTCCTTAAGACTGTAGACCCCAATTCTCCAGGTTCAAGGTGGAAGGACACTCCCAACTGAGGAAATGAGACTGAACCTCACAACCCCAGCTCTTAGAAGATCTGGAACAGCACTGTCCAGGAGAACTGTCTGGATGATAGGAACATTCTTTATCTGCACAAGCCAATACAGTAGGTACTGAGCACAAAAGGCGAAGGAGCACCTGAAGTGTGGCCAGAGCCACTGGGGAACTGAACTTGTCATTTTGTTTAATTTAAATTTAAGTAGCCACCATATTAGCACAGATCTGGAGCCCACAGGGTTTACCTGCAGAAGTGGACAAGTGTAGACAGACAAGTGAACATGTCTCCCCCGACACCACCATCTCTGTGTTCTTTAACAGGGCCGTGCCCAAGTTCATGAAGAGGATCAAGGTTCCAGACTACAAGGACCGGAGTGTGTTCGGGGTCCCACTGACGGTCAACGTGCAGCGCACAGGACAGCCGTTGCCTCAGAGCATCCAGCAGGCCATGCGATACCTCCGGAACCATTGTTTGGATCAGGTGAGAGTGCTGCCTGCGGGTCCGCACACTCAGGGGAGCTCGGATTACGTGCAGCTTCTTCTAGTTGTGTAGTGTGAACACTGCGTCCATGTGAATGTACCCCACACTTAGTGTTGCTCTTCCAACAGGTTGGGCTCTTCAGAAAATCGGGGGTCAAGTCCCGGATTCAGGCTCTGCGCCAGATGAATGAAGGTGCGGTAGACTGTGTCAACTACGAAGGACAGTCTGCTTATGACGTGGCAGACATGCTGAAGCAGTATTTTCGAGATCTTCCTGAGCCACTAATGACGAACAAACTCTCGGAAACCTTTCTACAGATCTACCAATGTGAGTGTCCTTTGATCTTAAGATTGTTGGCGTCGGGGAAAAATAGGACCCATGAAGCTTGTACCTTCCTTGATAGCATTCTTTTTTTTTTGAGATGGAGTCTCGCTCTGTCACCCAGACTGGAGTGCAGTGGCGTGACCTCGGCTCACTGCAACCTCTGCCTCCCAGGTTCAAGCAATTCTCCCACCTCAGTCTCCCAAGTAGCTGGGACTACAGGAGGGCGCCACCACATCTGGCTAATTTTTGTATTTTTAGTAGAGACGGGGTTTCACCATGTGGGCCAAGAAGGTCTCGAATTCCTGACCTCAAGTGATCCTCCCACCTCGGCCTCCCAAAGTGCTAGGATTACAGGTGTGAGCCACCGCGCCTGGCCTTGATAGCGTTCCTTTGACAAGAGGGTCTGCATGGTGACCTCTTGGAAACCCATGTCATCACTTTCTTCCTTGCCTCCTTGTTTGTGGAACAGGTTTCTGTATAGTTACTGAATGATGCGAAAATAAATTCCCCAGTCTCTAATGACTGATGCAACTGTACGTTTTTACCAGCAGATCCAAGTTAGGCTTTCATTAGTTTCTAGAACAGTGTTATCTGAGCACTCAGATAAAGATCAGGTACCAAGATCTCTTTCTCTCTCCACCTTGTCTACAGAAATTTCAGTTGCTTCACCTCCCTCTTGCTGGGCTGTTGGATTTAAAATTTCACAGGTCTGTGTGTTTTATCTTGCTGTAAAATGAATACATAATCTTCTTCTGTTATTCATCTCAGTTTCTGCCAGAAATACTTGGGAAAACAATACCCATGCCCTTCTTACTTTTATGTAAAGCTTAAAGAAAACAGTTGTCTAAATTAATGATCAAGTTCAGGATTATGGCTTTTACAGCCTTGTGTTTTTCTTGGCTCAGTGTGGTATTACAGCAATGTAATTTAAAAGCAGCCTCTCTTAGCGCTCGAATTGTCTCTAGGACTGGCACAGTGGACTTTTTTATGAGAAATGGAGCTGGTCTGGATTATTTCATTAGTTGTTTCATCCTTTCATATTTTATAAAAACACAGGTCACATTTTCCTTGCCAAGGTATTTGTTATGTGTTGTAACCATGGAGCTGTTTAATCAGTTTGTCCTATGGAGCTACATTTGAGTGACTTGATTTTTCCACCACACGCTCTTTTAAAGAGTTGTCTATTCAAGGAGACCTGACGATTGGGATCAGCATTTTCTACATGTAGATTGTTTATGGGTTTATTTGCATTTTTATGTATTTGCATATTCATATGCATTTTTATAACAGCCTCTCAAGCATGCTTCTCTAAAAACTTAAGATATTACTAATTCAATGTATTCTATGTATTAATTAAACTGAATATTTTCAGTTCAATTCAGTTCAGAACTGAATATTTTAGCAGCTTGCTTTTCCCATTTCAAGAATGAACAAATCAGTTAAACTCATGAAAATCTCCAGAGATACTGAGCATTTTGTACTCAAGGCTGAGAGATCTCCGTTCTTACGTTCTTGTACATATTTCAGATAAGATTTTTCATCGACACTAAACAAAAGGGTATAGTGTTTTCAGTAATTGAGATTGGTAAATTAGGGATTTTTTTTCTCATGCTTCATTAAGAAAAAACTGTTCTGTAAAGTAAAAGAACAGGCATCCTCTAAAGCCGAACTCTGAGGTGGATTTAAGAGTGTTTGGGTATCGTGGGTGTTTAAAATTTTTTTCACTCCTTCACGAGGCAGGAAATACTTGAGGGTAGTGACGCCAGTGGCAATTCATAACTTTTACCGTATTAACCTCTAGTACACTTTCTACAAGTGCTTGTTCAGTACTGGGCTGAGGTATTTGATGCTGATATTTGCTTTGGGACATTTCCTTGCAATATCCATGCAAATTCACCAAGCTGATGGGGAAAGTGCTGGTGTCGTGCAGATGTGCCCAAGGACCAGCGCCTGCAGGCCATCAAGGCTGCCATCATGCTGCTGCCTGACGAGAACCGGGAGGTTCTGCAGACCCTGCTTTACTTCTTGAGCGATGTCACAGCAGCCGTAAAAGAAAACCAGATGACCCCAACCAACCTGGCCGTGTGCTTAGCGCCTTCCCTCTTCCATCTCAACACCCTGAAGAGAGAGAATTCCTCTCCCAGGTACGGGCTGCATGGGAGGTGCGTACACAGAGGGGGCAGCCTGCATTCTTCTAGGACTCTGTATTTGTGGTTTTGTGGGAGTCTTTCCCGAAACAAGGAGGAAAGTTAGACCGCTGTATTAGTCCATCCTCACACTGCTAATAAAGACATGCCTGAGACTGGTCTATTGGTGTCCATGAGAAAACAGTCTCACGGGACTTAACCCCCACAGACTAAATCCATCCAACTGATCCTTTTCCTCAACTCTAAAGGAACTTGAAAAGTATTTCTTAGCTAGAGGCCTGGGGCCTAGTTATGCTAGTGAAGGTTAGGTTGCTTTTGAAAGTCGTACAGTGTTTAAATGTATGTTTCAATAGTTCTTTCTGAGATGGAGTCTCGCTCTGTCGCCCAGGCTGGAGTTCAGTGGCGCAATCTCAGCTCACTGCCACCTCTGCCTCCCAAGTTCAAGCCATTCTCCTGCCTCAGCCTCCCGAGTAGCCGGCACTACAGGCATGTGCTACCATGTCTGGCTAATTTTTGTATTTTTAGTAGAGACGGGGTTTCACCATGTTGGCCAGGCTGGTCTTGAGCTCCTGACTTCATGATCCACCTGCCTCAGCCTCCCAAAGTGCTGGGATTACGGCATGAGCCACTGTGCCTGGCCACATTTAAATAGTTCTTAAAGTTGACTGAGGCAATCCAACTGTAATGGGATACAGAACTAGAGATGAGTAGAGGAGAGAGATCAAATAAGATGAAGACAAAAGCTCAAGGAAACAATGGACTTAGCCCTTACCTGTGGGAGGGGGCCTGTGTATTCAGGCAGGTAAAGACAGTGACACCGTTTACTCCAACTCCCAGGGACTCCTTTCCCACACTTCTCAGAAGCTGCTCCCCTACCATGCAAACACAGCCCCTCCAAGCTGCCCTGTTCCCAATAGGAAGCTATTTAATAAAATGGTTTTAATCACCTTGATTTCATCAAAAGCATATCTCTTTAATGTTTTTTGTGTGTTGTTGACAAAACTCTGAGATACTGTGGTGAGCAAAGTAAAAACACTTAATGAATTTAACAGTAAACAGGTTCCAGTGAAAAAAATTTTTTCTCTTTTCTTTGGGTTTCCTGGAATAATACCTGGATGAAAAATATAGAAATATTTGAACTGTTCCCCTCCTGTATTTCCTCTATCTAGGGTAATGCAAAGAAAACAAAATTTGGGCAAACCAGATCAGAAAGATTTGAATGAAAACCTAGCTGCCACTCAAGGGCTGGCCCATATGATCGCCGAGTGCAAGAAGCTTTTCCAGGTAAGGAAGTGAGAAGGTTGGCTCCTTTATTAAGGATAATGTGAATAGGTACGAAGTCTTAGGCTTGATACTTGTTCATGTCTTACCTGAAGACCTTTTCCACAGCTGGAGATGGTATAAATAGCCGAGAATGTCTTATTTACATATATTATAATGTATCAGCTAGAGTTAATTATGCTTAATGAAATTGTCCCTTTAGTTAGGAAGGAAAAGCAGCCGGGCGTTGTGGCTCATGCCTGTAATTCTAACACTTTGGGAGACTGAGGCTGGTGGATCACGTGAGCTCCGTAGTTCAAGACCAACCTAGGCAACATGATGAGACCTCATCTCTACAAAAAAAAATTTAAAAATGAGCCGGGCATGGTGGTGTGCACCTGTAGTCTCAGCTACTTGGGAGGCTGAGATGGGAGAATCACCTGAGCCCAGGGAGATGGAGGTTGCAGTGAGCCAAGATTCTGCCGTTGCACTCCAGGCTAGGTAACAGAATGAGACTTTGCCTCAAAAAAAAAAAAAAAAAGAAAAAGGCAAAGAAAAAAAAGGCAACCAATTATCTGGAATTAAACTTCTGTATCCACTTCTGTATCTGAGAAACCTGCTTTGATCAATGTAATTCACTCCCCCTACTCTTAACTTTCCAAAGAAGACCTTACATGGGAATAAGATTTCAGATACATTTATGGAGGTGATCTATTCATATCCTCATGGTACCACGTGAGGTCAGCATTATAGCCCACCTCTGGCAGAAAGATGCCTGCGCTGCTTTAAGGACCAGGCCACTGTTCCTGCCCAGCCTTTTCCACTGATGGGCGTTGAGATTGAGTACAGGTGGACTCACCTCCTTTCTGTCTGTCATGTTCCGCACAGGTTCCCGAGGAAATGAGCCGATGTCGTAATTCCTATACTGAACAAGAGCTGAAGCCCCTAACTCTGGAGGCACTCGGGCACCTGGGAAATGATGACTCAGCTGACTACCAACACTTCCTCCAGGACTGTGTGGATGGCCTGTTTAAAGAAGTCAAAGAGAAGTTTAAAGGCTGGGTCAGCTACTCCACTTCGGAGCAGGCTGAGCTGTCCTATAAGAAGGTAAGGCTTCACCCTGTTGTCGGCTAGTTCAGTCCAGCCGTCGAGGCTTGGGTCCATCAGAGAGAACATGCTTTTGCCAACTAATCTCTCTGGGGATCTCTAGCCCACACCCTCTCTTGTAGAGCTGGGCACCCGGGTGAGTCAGATCCCCCTGGTGAGAGTGGAAACCGGGCAAAGGAAGAGTAATTTTCATCCCGTGTAACACTTGGGAGAGGATTTCAACTATTTCTAATGAAGTCCTTTGGCTCTACAGAATCACACTAGACTTCCCTGGAATGTTTTGCTAATGGCATTGAGCTGTGGAACATCCTATGACACGCTTCGATTTTTCCATAAGTTGGTCAGAAACCCTTTGCACTCTTCTCTGTTCTTACTGTTCTCTTGGCCCTTTAATGAGCAGGGATCCTTAGGGGGAAATTAATTCCAGTTAGGACTAGTAAACCTCTTGAGGGCAGAGGCATCTTGTAAGGCTCGGCAGGATAGGTCCATCGGAGGTATATGTTGATGCTGCCTCTACCATCTTGAAAATACATAAACAATGGGAGTAGGCTGAGTGGCCTTGCAGGCTTTGGAAATGAGTGCAAATGATGGATTTTTTATTTTTTATTTTTTTATTTTTTTTGAGATGGAATCTTGCTCTGTCGCCCAAGCTGGAGTGCAGTGGCGCCATACCGGCTCACTGCAACCTCTGCCTCCCGGGTTCAAGCAATTCTCCTGCCTCAGCCTCCCAAGTAGCTGGGACTGCAGGCACCCGCCACCATGCCTGGCTAATTTTTGTATTTTTAGTAGAAAAGATGGGGTTTCACCATATTGGTCAGGCTGGTCTCGAACTCCTGACCTTGTGATCTGCCCATCTTCGCCTCCCAAAGTGCTGGGATTATAGGCGTGAACCACCACGCCTGGCCAGTGACTGATATTTCTTTATTGCATGCACCCTGATACAGGTCCCAGAAAAACAAAACAAATGTCATAATTTGTTTTGTTTTGTTTTCAAATGGAGTTTCATTCTTATCACCCAGGATGGAGTGCAGTGGTGTGATCTCGGCTCACTGCAAAATCCGCCTCCTAGGTTCAAGTGATTCTCCTTCCTCAGCCTCCCGAGTACTTGTGCTTACAAGTGTCTGCCACCATGCCTGGCTAATTTTCATATTTATAGTAGAGACAGGGTTACACCATGTTGGCCAGGCTGTCCTTGAACTCCTGACCTCAGATGATCCACCCGCCTCAGCCTCCCAAAGTGCTGGGATTATAGAAATAAGCCACAGCGCCCAGCCCAAATGTCATAATTTTGACCAGAGTTGACAACAGCTTTTGTTCACTTTCTGGCTTGCTCTTAAAGCCTAGGGATAGCAGCCTATTTGAGTCATAGATTTATTAGTCCTCCAATATTTATATATTGATTATATTGTTTATATGATTTATATAATCAATTAACATTGATTATATGTGACTAAAATTGTTAGTCTAACTAACAATTTGACTTCAAAAACTAGGTGTGTACGGATTGCCTTGGCACTGAGAAATATATCCTCTTTCCAGGTGAGCGAAGGACCCCCTCTGAGGCTTTGGAGGTCAACCATTGAAGTCCCTGCTGTGCCAGAGGAAATCTTAAAGCGCCTACTTAAAGAACAGCACCTCTGGGATGTAGACCTGTTGGATTCAAAAGTGATTGAAATTCTGGACAGCCAAACTGAAATTTACCAATATGTCCAAAACAGTATGGCACCTCATCCTGCTCGAGACTACGTTGTTTTAAGGTGAGCACTTCCAAATTGTTTTTTTGTGACAAGGATGATTCCATATATGAACCAAGCCTATATGTCACTGATCTTACAAGATGGTATAATTATTTAAAGTAGAAGCCAGGCATATGATGGCTCACACCTGTAATCCCAGCACTTTGGGAGGCCAAGACAGGAAGATCACTTGAGGCCAGGAGTTCAAGACCAGCCCGGGCAATATAGCAAGACCCTATCTCTGCAAAAAATTTTTAAAACTTAGCTAGATGTTGTGGTGCATGCCTGTAGTCTTAGCTACTCGGGAGGCTGAGGCAGGAGGATCTCTTGAGCCAGGAATTTGAGGCTGCAGTGAGCTGTGAGTATGCCACTGTACTGCAGCCTGGGCAATAGAGCAAGACTTTGTTTCTAAATAAACAGAACAAAACATATGCCTCCAGAAAAGTAGTGAACACCTTCAAATATGGAAAACAGATCTACATTTATTCTAGCAATGTGTTCCTCACTGAGAATGGCTTGAACTCCTTGGTAACTGAGCTCGGAAAGAGAGGCGCCTTCCAATGAATATGCTCATTGGTAGCAGATTTTTGCCCCTTTTAGGATAGATTTTCTTGTCAGAAACAGCTAGTGAATGAATAAGCCAGGAAATAACATTTGAGTCCCAAGGGAGATGTGGTTAAGGCTGATTTATGTGTAATTCATAAATTCTCTTGAGATATTACTGAAAGAAGAATTCCAAAAATCTTTGAGGAAATGTCATGTTGGAAGTCCAGACCTTTTCAAACAGCCAGTGCTCCTTTAGGTGTCTGTGTTCCAAGACATTTGTGAAATAGAAAAAATGGTTTTAAGCTACACTTCAAATTGGCTCTTTTTTCAAAGAGGAGACTGTCTGAGCACATAAACCCTGTGTAACAGCGACTCCGTACAGAGTTCCTCATTCGAGAGTCCTTGTATAGTGTCTTCGTGCATATAGTACTAATACTGCTCTAACAGAATGTTACAGACCGGGCAATTTATAATGAACAGATATTTATTTGGCTCTTGGTTCTAAAGGCTGGGAAGTCCAAGATCAAGGAGTTGCATCCGGTTGTTTGTTTGTTTGATTTGGGGACATGGTTTCATTCTGTCACCCATGCCAGGGTACAGTGGCAAGCCCATGGCTCACTGAAGCCTTTACCTCCCAGGCTCAAGCAATCCTCCCCCTTCAGCCTCCCAAGTAGTTGGGACTACAGGCATGTGCCACCATGCCTGGCTAACTTGTTGATTGTTTCTGCTGGTGACATGGTTTCACCATATTGTCCAGGCTGGTCTCAAACTCCTGGGCTCAAGCGATCCTCCTACCTCAGCCTCCCAAAGTGCCAGGATTTCAGGCATGAACCACCATGCCCAGCCTAGTGAGGGTCTTCTTACTGTGTCCTCCCATAGTGGAAGGGCAAAGAGGGCAAGGGAGAGCAAAAGAGAAAATGTGCAGCTTTAAGCCATTTTTATTTATATATTTATTTATTTTGAGATAGAGGGTCTCACTTTGTTGCCCAAGTTTGAGTACAGTGGCATGATTGCAGCTTAAGCAATCCTACCATCTCAGACCCCCAAGTAGCTGGGATTACAGGGGCACACCACCATGCCTGGCTAATATTTTTTATTTTTAGTAGAGATGAGGTCTCACTATGTTGCCCAGGCTGGTCTTGAACTCCTGATCTCAAGCAATCCTCCCTCCCCAGCTTCCCAAAGTGCTGAGATTAAAGGCGTGAGCCACGGAACCCAGCCTGAAGCTCTTATAATTGCCATTAATCCAGCTCCCATTAGGCCCCACCTCCCAACACTGTTGTATTGGGGATTCAGTTTTTTTTTTTTTTTTTTTGTAACACCTACCTCCGTCTAAGATCTTGGTGACAGCAGTAGTAGATTTGCTAATAACCGACTTCAGCATCTGGAAGTTTAATGCCATGTTTAAGTCCAAATACTTTTTTGTTTCATGTATTTTGGTGAAAAACAATCTCTCTAAAAGGTAGAAAGACTGCCATTACAAATGTTTTTACGTTAAAATGAAAAACAAAACAAAACCCAACTATTGAGTATAAAAGTGTGGGAAGAACATGTTCCTGACCTAGTTTTAAAAGAAAGAGAAATTATAATCAGAATGAAATTATCTTTGTAAATGTAACTATCAAGTGAATGGCTTCTAATCAGCAGGGATATTGTGTGTGTGTGTGTATGTGTATGGAGGAGGGGGGTTGAGAAGAATAAAGATTATTGTTAGACTTCCTTTTGAATGCCCCCAAATCCAAACATTGCATTTTATTGTTTCTAACATAGTACTCTAAAGTTTTTAGGTACGGTGGCTGAAATCAGCATTAGAATCAGGGGAACGTAACCTCAGCAACATCAGTATTTTCTGCCCATTTGTGTCTGCATTGGCTGAAAGAGGAGGAAACATATTCCAACCTCCTCCACTGCCTACTGGGATGACTTGCTCATTTTTCTCCCTGGACTTCCATGTCTCCTGGCTCCAGGCTTCTTCACATTGCAGGGACTGGTGATTTGTGCCGTTACCTTTTTTCCATCAACATCTAGCCCTCATTGGCAGTCTTGTTGTTCATTCATTTGGTTTCTACTTTAAGATTCAAATTTTGATGTAATGATCCTGTTAACCAACCTTATCAATGCC